CCCCCCCGCTCCCCCCCCCCATCCCACCAGAGGGGGGGGGGGGAGCCCGCGGCTGCCTGGGGTTTAGGTGCTGGCTGGGGTTAAACCTCAAAATCCTCTTATGTCTCACTGTAACTATGGCCTTGTTAAGAATAACTAACCAAGTAAAGGAGACTCTAGAAGCCCCTGCAGAATATCTGCATCAGTCTGGTCTCCCTGTGTTGCAGTAGAAATCAGAAATTTTGGAAAGTGCTCTGATCTTTTTTTAAAAAACAGACAGAAACTTTGATGTATGGAGTCACTAGGATGCAGCTTCAGCCATTCCAGGGACACGGGACACGGGAAGCCCTGCATATGTTCCTTGTACTGGTCTGCTCGGATACTCTCTTGAAAATTTTATCGTTTTGGTGGAGGTCTTCATATTGCATACCTCGCTAGCTCCTTTGCAGAACTGTGGGAAAGAGATGTAATGAATTGCAGTCATACGAGATGTTCTCCAGGCTAGAGAATAGTAGAAAAACCACAGAGTGTGGACAAGTTACTGAAAGGTAAACTAAGGTTGTGGTCTTGTAGCCTCTCAGTTACTCCGTAGTCATTGCATATGTTTTTACTAGAACTGTGAGAAAGAGGTGTAATGAATTGCAGTCATAGAGATGTTCTCCAGGCTAGAGAATAGTAGAAAAACCACAGAGTGTGGACAAGTTACTGAAAGGTAAACTAAGGTTGTGGTCTTGTAGCCTCTCAGTTACTCCGTAGTCATTGCATATGTTTTTACTCCATTGTAAATGCAGTTTACGTTCTCCACCTTCACTGAGGGGTAGGATAGCCTCTGTTACAGAGGAAGAACATGTGTTTGGTTACCACTGAGTAGCGGAAGTTCCTCGAAGTCATACTTCTACGTTACCTTGTGGTAACTTATTCCTATCCCCATATCTGTAACTGAACAGTGAGTTCCTTAAAGAGTTCTGGGTAAAGCTATTTGGAAAGAAAACAGATAAAGTACTTCTTCAAACTGAAGGCAGAAAGATCCACTTGATCGTCCCAACTTCATCTTGTTCCTCTCAAGTTTATCTGTGCCAAGATAGTTGCAAAATATTTGATCAAGAGCTGTTGCAGGACAGATTCTACAATGTTCTCAATAATATCATTAAAATGAAGAATCAGGAGCTTTGCTTCCTGTGTCTGTATTTTCTCTGTTGTTCAGAGAAGATAATTTATGAAAGTATTGCTGCTCAGAGAAGGTAATTCATAGCGCTGTCACTTAGGAACCTACAGCAATCGTAATTGAGGACCTACTAAAACCATGCCACGAAGTCTTACAAAATGTGGGGTTTGGTGTGTGTGAGGGTTAAGGTTTCTTTCAGTTTATAATTATATAATTAATACTTACTGACTAGTATGATTTTCCTTTTTTGATAAATCATATACATACTTCTTTTGGTGTTTGTGTTCTTACTGGTACTTGGAGGGCTAATGAATAGAATTCCCCAAGTCTGTACTTGGAATGTGAAGGGCTGGGAAAAAAGCAAATACGTTGCTAGACTTTGAACATGATTGCGAGATGCTGGCTTTTGGTTGTGAAGTAATGAGAGAAACATCAAGAAAATTACCTAATTTTGCTGAGATTTACAGGTTGTTAGTAAATCTGTTATACTTTTATACAAATAAAATCTAAACTTTATGCTGCAGAACTCAAAGATTTTAGTACAGTAATAATAATTCTCTGAATTCTGTGATAGCCTTAGGATGTAAACATGAACTGAAATAGAAACCTTACTCTATGCCCCAAAAGGCAGTCAGTTCTATTTTTTTACTATAAAATAATTTTATTAATGCTTTCATTGGGATGTTCAGTAACCTTGTAGCACAGTTTGAGCATCTCTGATTTTAGAGTTTCCGAGAACTTTCTGTTTCAGAAAATTTCTGTTTTCAGATTGTTTCCAAATGTAGGTAGGGAACATTGTCATATGGAACTTGATTACTTTTTAAGATTTTTTTTTTTTCCCCCCCTCTTTCATGAATTCAATGAAGTATGAATGGTGGGATTGGAAAGAAAAATTTTACAGGGCTTACTGAATTCTGGATATCTGTTAAGCATAGTTATTGACAAATAGTAATGCTGCGGTAAAATACCAATTGTGGCAAGAGGATTTTTCTATTCTAAAGTGGGCAGAGAAAGTAGCTGTAGGAGGCATGGGTATCAAAAGTAAATGGTGAAGATACACAAGATAAATGGAATTGAATAAAGTAAGTGAAAGAAACAGTAAGACTTACAAGAAGCACTTTTGCTATTGCAAACTGCAGTTCTATAGAACTGCAGTTCTATATCTTCACGGAAAAAGTGTTAGAGATAGGAGTCGTTAGGGATTGTGGAGATCATTCTTGCTCTAGGCCACATCCAGGTTTCGGGTGGTGAGGTGCATTATATCAAATTGGACTTCTCTTGATATTACCCCTTCTTTAGTTATTCTGTTTATCAGACAGCTAAAGTTCAGGTTGCGTTTTTTTCTTCAGTCATGTTTAACTGTACAGAATTGCCAATTAAAGCTCCTTTCCCAAGCCTTGTAGGAATCCCAGGGATTTGCCTAAACAGTACTTCTGCCGCGAACGATTTCATGAATAGCTCTTTGCCAGTGGTATGCCTCTTTGTCTGTGGTCTTTCTTGAGATCCTCTTGTACTTTTTTGTGTGTTTTTCAGCTCTCTCTGCTTTTGTGGGCATGTGGTTGTGGTTTTACACTCACGAAGAGAGAGATCTGTGGATGGCCATGACTGCACAGAACACAGAGGCTTTTTGGGAATGTAATTAAGGTCATGAAGTTGCTTATGTGTATTTGGTATTCCTGATTGTGCCTTTGACACTCTTGCTTTTCTTGATTGTAGGTTGGACTTGCCAGACAGTTCCAAGCAGATTCTCTTCCCCAAGGCAGTCAATCACGGCTGACTGGATAACTGACTGCCGGATTGATGAACAGAAATTCACTGAGATGACTTAGGGAGGGGCATCAAGGACAATGGTGCAGAAAAAGAAAATCTGCCCTCGGTTACTCGACTATCTTGTGATCATTGGAGCCAGGTAACGTAAAAGAGTCTCAGCACTGCTTTTGCTTGGGCAGTAGAGTGGGGATAAATAGCCTAGCATCCATTGATGAAGCCTTGCTTGGTGCTGAGGAAGTGCTGTCTGGAATGCGTGCAGAATGCTACCATAATGGGAGCATCTACTTGGGCCAGGGCACTTTCTGAAAGATACTAGTGCTGCCAAAGTTTTTGAATTTTGCGGTCTTCATACTCCTTTTCAAGGGTCTGCAAAGGATGACTAAGAAAAGCTAATTTGTATATGACTCTGGTAGCATGTGTGTCTGAACTTCTTTGCTTCTACTGGCATCAGGATAGAGGGATTCACAAACTGAAAATACTGAAAGCCACATGCAAGTAAAATACTAGTTTGGGGTTACTTTTCTAGCTTTTGAAGTGTAGTCTGTAAACTCAGCTGAAAAAAAAATAATCTGGAACTTGCCTTACTTGGCTCTTTCTCCCTCTAATACTCATTTATCCTCATAGGAATGACATGAATGCTTTCGTTTTTTAAAGTCTTATTAACTATCAATAGATAAAATGTTACGCTTATTTACTTAAAGCGTATATGAAATGTGGGGTTGATATGTGTTTGTCAAATACACAGGTGCTCAGTAAATGTTATTTTTCTGTATTCAAAGTTTATGCAGTAACTTTCTACCAGTCTATTTAATGGGTGTGTCCAAAGTCTATTTTACTTTAATTTCTAAATATCAGTGGTTTAGGTGCATCACCCTGTTGCTTTACCTCCCTCTTTCTTTGCAGAATACTTTGAGTGCAATATTTAAATAGGCTAAGTGGAGGAAATTACATAATCCTAAGTAATAATTATTTTTATTATTGTATTGTATGGACAGAATAATTTATTAGGGTAATTACTTCTTATTGTCTGTAGAAAAATAACCAGGTTTTCCATATGTGTGTCACTGACTAGGAAAAGGAGGAGGAAGAAATGTTAACTGCCTCCTCTAGTGGTGCTTAAAATGCCTGTTTTCACTTAGAAATTTGCTAGCATCACTCCTGGACTCCCACAGTTCTCTTGCTTTTTGCTGGGCAGCGGTAGCTAGATTGCTAATGCTCAGAGGTCTGTTGTCTCATTAGGCAGTTCAGCGAAGGCCTATGTTAAGAGATGGAGCTGACTGAAGTAGCTTCTACTGCGACGTCCTTCGGAGCTCCATGGGGCCTTTACCATTACATCTTGTTATCCTCCGTGCACAAATGCCTTTTGGAAGTATTCCCTTTTATTAGATGCAAATTTTCTAAATGTCTGAGAAGACTTTGTCTTTGTAGCTAATATTACTGCAAAGGCACGAACTGATGATATATTCACTGGTACTTTGTTGATGACTTTTTTTTAACCATTTATTGCCAAGTAGACTCTCTAAACAGTACCAGCATTATTTGACATTTCTTCTTCAGCAGATGATGCACTAGTTGCATCCATGAATATATAAAAGCTTTTTAGCGTTTCTTTTTTCTTTTTGTACAGTATTTTAGTACTTAACTGTACAGGCAGTATAATTTTTATTACCAATTTATGCTTTATTACTAAAGCATTTTTACTTTTTCTTTAATAAAGTATTAGTTTGGGAGAATTAGTCACCAGAGCTATTTACACCAGTGATTTTCTTTTGTAAATTACAAACATTCTATTACTGCTTGTTTCGGTTTTCTCGCCTCTCAGGTAAGAGAAAAGCAAGTGTCATTTGTATTTTGAAATGGGCAAATCTAAAGTATCAAGGTGAGAAAATGTCTTGTATGAGATCCCACAGGAGAGTGATGGTGGAGCCAGGTCTCCTACATCCCATTTAGTAAACGTTATACTAAATGCTAATTACTTTAGAAAATGGTGAGAGATCAGACTTTGTAGCAAAGGGGTCAAACCAAAAAGAGGTTGTTCTGGGGACATATTTTTCTTCCTTCACTGTGTGGATCTCATACTATTTCTCTGGCAGTTATTCAGTAGCTTTCATGGAAAAGCAGTGGTAGGAAAATAGTTAATACCTTGAAAGAATCTGTTCTTCTGGTGGAAAATTAGGAATAAGCAGTATTGACTTTCTGTCTTTGTGTTCCATTAGTGATTTGTAATACAAAGGTTGGTGAACCACAGTGTTAAATAGGTCTGCATATTACTACCAGCTTTTATAGTAACTTACACTTCAAATCCAACTTGAAAATCAAACACAGAAATATATCTATCTATGGTTGCTAGAACTTTTTAATGAAAATTTTACAGGATGAGGTCCATATCATTCCATATCATTCCATATCATTCCGAGAGATGAGTTCTTTCCTAGTAAATTCTTGTTTTTCCCAGTTAGGAGTTGATACTGGATTTTCTCATTTAATTTTTCATCTTGTTCATAAATGGCTGAAATCCCGGCGGTTTTCATCTGACTGTATATTTGGAAAGGGACAGTGTATTTCCTATCCAAGAGTTGCCCCAGAGACCTGTGAGGTTAAATTAATTTTGGAAATCAATGTTAGGCAAACATGAGAATACGATGTTCTCCTGGGAACAACATACTCCTGAAAGTCCTTTTCTTGGTCAACTTTGAACAGGCTCCTTGTTGGGCCTTGATAATGATGGTATAGACTTTTTAATTTAACCTTTCTGCAATTGTGGCCTTGTGCTAGTGGCTAGTGACAGAGAAGCTGCGCTTTCCCTGGATAGTAGGGGGAGAGAAGAAACAAAGATGAAGCTGAGCCCACAGGCTCCTGACATATTAGTAGGGAGATACCAAAGATTTTTATTGGCATTAGTCAACTATGTACGTTTTTTTTGTTTTCTTTTTTGTAGGCAGCCAAGTAGTGATAGTGTTGCTCAGACTCCTGAACTGCTGCGACGTTACCCTCTGGAAGACCATGTGGACTTTCCTCTACCGCCTGATGTTGTATTCTTCTGCCAGCCAGAAGGATGCCTGAGCGTGCGGCAAAAACGCATGAGCTTCCGTGACGACACTTCTTTTGTCTTCACGCTCACAGACAAGGATACAGGTGTCATTCGCTATGGAATCTGTGTCAACTTCTACCGCTCCTTCCAGAAGCGAGTACCCAAGGAGAAGGGAGAAGGCACAGGGGGGCATCGAGCTCGGGAGGGACAGAAAATCCCCAAATCTGGCGATGCATCTGCGCCCCAAGAGGAAGTGGGCACTGAGAGTTCGGAGAGTGGTTCTTCACTGCAGGCTCCAAGTACAGAGTCTACCCCAGATGTGAATCGATCACCGCGCAGTAAGCGTCTGGCCAAAGGCAGCCATCGCTCTCGGAACAGCACTCTGACTTCTCTGTGCATCCTTAGTCATTATCCCTTCTTTTCCACCTTTCGTGAGTGTCTGTACACCCTCAAGAGACTTGTGGACTGCTGTAGTGAGAGATTGTTGGGCAAGAAGTTGGGGATTCCTCGTGGGGTGCAGAGGTATGTTGAGTGGGAAGAAAGAACTTTTTCCTCCCACTGTTGGTGTCCGGGACTGCAATTGTCTGCATGGCAAATTGTGGCTACAGCTGTGGTTGCAGAAGCAGCCGAACACCAATGGTTGATCGTTTTGCTGTTTTAACCCAGGGTCACAGTAGGAAAAGGAAATTTTTGTGATGATTTCTTTAAAACTTCTCTGTCTGATTCTGTAACCTGGTATGATTTTCATTTTTGATACGCCTAAGGAGGCACTATCCTGCTAACAACTGACTAAGCATGATCTTTTCTGAAGCTGAGCACTGATGCTGTTATTGTTGCTTTGGCATATAAGCTCCGTGGCAGTGTACGTCAGGACTGATTCTCTGGCAAATTAGAAACAGCCAAGAAATAACAGGGAGAATTTCCACTTGGGGCAAGAGGGAAATGATGAAAGTGTGCTTAATGAGCTTATGGAATAATGTGAACTTCAGCGTGGGAGAGAAAAGACTAGAGAAGCAGGCTGAAAGAGATCAAAGTACAGTATTTGAAGGGGAGAGGGAGGAGAGGTAGAAAACAAAGGAGTTGTCTAGGAAGCGTATGGGAACGGGGGTTGGTAACAGCAAATTAACAGGAACTTGGTGTATTTTATGTAATGTAGTAATCTTACATATCTGCTGTTACTACGTTGGGTATGTAACAAAAGCTGTTGCACTGTAGGGTACAGAAGGAACAATGTCTTTACATATATCAGTCATGGACGTATGTCTGTGCGATTGTGCCTGACACCTACATTCCAGGATGATATTTTCCTTTCCAATATGCTAACTGAAAAGAGAAAATATAAAATGAATCTCTGGAGAAGGAGGGGATTATCTCAATAGTAAGAGGGATGTGGCTGTGAGATAGCTCATAATGTGAGTTAAGTAGCTTGGTACGCTCCAAATTAAACTTGTCAAAAGCAAAAAACGACAGGACATCTATCATTTTCGTCTTTATAAGCTCTTTACATTTTGCATGAAAGGGGGAAATCTGTCCCATTCACAGAGCAGTAGCCTATTTCTTGTGTTACTGCCCTGGAATAGTTCTAGGAGAGTGTCCTGGGCTTATGACTGACTCCCGCCTTAGCAGATTTATCACCTGAATCCACTGACTGTTGAGGAAAAAATGATTCTGTCAGAACAAAACTTCGCCCCCCAGGGAAGTATGTTTTAAGGGAGCTTATTTGGTCACTTGGTTTAGTCTGATAATTACTGAGGTAGAAAAAAGTTAAATTTAATGATTTTCCTCAACTCTGTGAGCATATCTGATTTTTTAAAGGGGTGCTAAAATATTCCAGTGTTTGAATGGCATGTGGTATTTGAAAAATTTGCTCTTGTTGGACATAATTCTTACAGAGAAGAACCACTCAGAGTGACAGATGAGGAGGAATGCTGAGCATACATCTCTGGGAAAAGTAAAGCAGCGGGTTTGAATTACCATGTGGTTTGCAAGCCGTGACCAGGAAAAGTAGAATAGTTTTGAAGTGGTGGCAGAATAAAGGTGAAACTGAATCCTTACAGCTTGCAAAAGGTTGAGGGTGCCTGTTAACAACCTAATGTCCTGTGCATTACCAGCGGCTGAAGGAAGAGTGGAGGATGAGAAGCATCACAGTTCCTGAGAGGTGTATCACTTAGCATACTTTGCCCTTCTTTTGACCCCTCCAAATTTCTCTGATTTTTCTTCCTTTCTGAAGCCTCCATTGTCATAATCTTTTTTCTTCTTTTTTCCTTTTCCTTTTTTTTTTTTTTTTTAAAGTCATGAACTGTAAGGTAGAACCTCTAATTTGAACCCATACCATTCTAAGGGATCTGTTGCAGTAACTGAAGATATTTATCAGGCTGAAGTTTTTTGCAGAATGGCTACAGCAGGTTTGCAGCCTTCACTGTGCTACAACATTAAGGGCTGAAGTGGACAAGCCACTTTGCTTCCCTTGTCAGACCCAGTTCTAAGTTTTGAAGCTCTGAAGGCCCTGAGCAATGCTGTACATGCGTTTTGGCCAGCCTGTCTGTGAGCTACAAGTTTGCAGATTGCTGGCTTAGGGCATGGAAAAATTGCTGCTTATTTTGCTAAGGTGCCTAAATGCTTTCTAGACAGCTTTCAGAAATGTATATTCTCAGCTGAAACGCATCCATTTCTGCCATGGGTTATTCAGCTCTTAAGAATCATACAACGCAATTTAGGATAGGATGAAAAAGAGTATTTTGTCATGCCAAAACATCTGGGAGATCTTGGTGTGGCATATTTTTATTATCTCAGGTTTAGTTCCTATTCTTGCAAAGGTTTGTAGGACTGCTGGAAGCAGAATTCTACAGTCAGTCAGTCTGCCACAATTTTGGATGAGATGTGAGAGTATCCTATGTGCATGCTGAATTTCAAGCACCAAGGCGATGAGAGGTCTTCAGAGATCTGGACCTAACTGAACCCTTTAAATGAACGAATGAACTCTCAGGTGGCAGTGACATACTTGTGTGATTCCTGCCAGTGATACACTTGTGTGATTCCTCCCACAGAAAGATTTGTACTTCCCCACGGTGGTTGTTCCAGTAAGCTTAAATCCCTACCTTCCATTCCTCCGTGTGACCAAATGTTTGTTAGCTGCAGCTTTTAATTCTCGGTGGATCTGCCCTTTTCCTGGAAGAGCCTTGCGGAATGGCCGCCAAGTGAAGCTCTTGGAGCGTTAACCTTCTTGTTCCCCCTGTACAGGGATACAATGTGGCGGATTTTCACAGGCTCCCTCCTGGTGGAAGAAAAGTCTAGCGCGTTGCTACATGACTTGCGGGAGATTGAGGCTTGGATATACCGGCTGCTCCGGTCACCGATGCCTGTTGCTGGTCAGAAGCGGGTGGATGTGGAAGTCTTGCCACATGAGTTGCAGCCAGCTTTGACCTTTGCTCTTCCGGATCCGTCCCGCTTCACCTTGGTGGATTTTCCATTACATCTGCCTTTGGAGTTGTTGGGAGTGGATGCCTGCCTGCAGGTGCTGACCTGCATCCTTCTGGAGCACAAGGTAGGAGGGAAAAAATTTGATAGGTACGTAGGAAGCTCGGCCCTCTTCAAAACCAGGGTAGGCTGGATGTGTAGGACAGCTGTCTCCTGCGCTGCCTGGAACCAGTTTGTCTGCAGGGGGAAGGAATAGCTCCTTCTGAGGTTCGTTTTGAAAAAAACCTCTCTCAAAAAAGCACCTGAAGCTTGTTTTCAGACAAATTAATGGAAGGTCATCCAGTTCACAGCCATCAAACCAGAGGCCTGCAGGCTGCGATCTTCATATACCCCTGGGGGGAGTACTAGAAGTGAATGGTTGCTGCAGTGCTAATGTGAGTTTCTTTGGTTGCAGGTTGTATTGCAGTCCCGAGATTATAATGCGCTCTCAATGTCTGTGATGGCCTTTGTGGCTATGATCTACCCGTTAGAGTACATGTTCCCAGTGATCCCTCTGCTTCCCACCTGCATGGCCTCTGCAGAACAGGTACGTATTTTTCCTTTATTGGTCTTTTGCAGATGTTTCTGTGATGTCTGAAATTTATATAGGAGTAGTCCTTGTTTCCTTCCCCGCCATTTTCTCAGGGATTGTAGCAAAGTCTGCCTTGCAAAGAACGTTCTTTGGGCACAACTAACTATGTAAATCATAGGTAACACCACTTATTTAGGATATCTTCAAAGCATGCTTAGTGAACAGTATGATTCAAAGCAGTAGTTCACAGTAATTCACAAGCAATGGACTGAAAGGCCATAGATCCACAATATTATGATGAGTATTTAACCCCTGCCACAACTGAGTATTAAGGTCTTTTGGGGAGGGTCCAGAGTAATATTTAAGGACGCTTGAGGGCTCTTGATTCAGAGTTTAGAAACTATTGACTGCAATTTATTCTCCTCAGAAATATGAAGTGTTGAGTTACTTCAGGTGGGAGCCTGGGTTTTGCCAATAGTCAGCTCTCTGCAGGAGCTCAATATTTTGCTTGGAAAGATAGAATTCAGGCCATCTTACTACTTCAGTGCTATCCTGCAACTGATGCTGCAAGTTTGTTCTTGTACTGCCCCTTGGAGGTGACCAACTGTTCTAGATTTAAAGAATAAATTAGCCTCCCAAGCCACTGGTCTCCAGCTGCTACATGCCTTACTGATTTAAACCTCTCCCTCTGCTGATTCCCTTATCAGAAACAACCTGAATTTTCCCTTAAGTTTTCCATGTACATTTGAAAAAATGTGTCTATTTCTTCTGCTTCCTAGAGATGTTATTGTTTGGAAACCAAATTACCATTACAAGGGTAAGGGTAAAGCCATATTTACAATGGCACAGACCCAGTTTGAGCTGAGAGAGTATTCATCTGTGACTTGCTGCTCCTCTGGTTAGGCTCTTACTCCGAACATCTTTTTTTCTTGGTCCATGATAGATGTGCAAGCTGTTAGATTAGCTAAGTTTTTTCCAAAGAGCCATGCAGCCATATAAATTACATCCCTGGGGTGGGGGGCACTGGTGGTGGAAATTTATTTTCTTCTAGATGAAAATTGAAGCTCTCTGAGCAGGAGCTTTTCTTCTTCTTTTTTTTTTTTTTTTGATATTTCTATTTTATGGAATTAATTACTTATATATCAATGCCTTGTGTGTTGTCTCCTCTGCTATAAACTTACTGTAGTTAATAAATATTTGGGAAGAACATGGTGATATCAAATGCAGATCTTGTCCTTATTAAAGTCTCTCTCTCTCTCAGTTGCTTCTAGCCCCTACACCTTACATCATTGGTGTTCCAGCAAGTTTCTTCCTTTACAAACTGGATTTTAAAATGCCTGATGATGTATGGCTTATTGACCTGGATACCAATAGGGTAAGTGGTGCCCATAAGGACTTGTGGCTTTGTTTCCAGGGAGCTGTGCACTTTCTTCAGTGTATCCACTGAGAATTTAAGAATGCCTGGCCTCAGTCTGCCCTTGCCACTCCCGTCTTAAACTTTAGGGTTCCGTTCTTTGTTATGTCTCAAGGTCCCCATTTCTTTTGCTCATAAGGCATTCTTTTTCAGTTAATCCATCTGGCTATATCATTAGAAGATAAATCCTCAAACAAATGATAAAGCTGTCTTCTTGAGTAATTCTGACCCGTCTCTTATAGCCCTACCTAACAAACCCAATCTGATAAGAGCCCTACAGCAGCATTGGTTGTCATGATTCAAATGGGACTATGTATCCCGCTTTCTACTGGGGCACGAGCAAGGCTATGTCAAGGGAAATGTGTATAACATGTTCGACTTGATGGAAATTCCAAAGGATGAGTGTGTATGTATCCCGCCTTCTACTGGGGCACGAGCAAGGCTATTTCAAGGGAGATGTGTATAACATGTTTGACTTGATGGAAATTCCAAAGGATGAGTGTGGGTTCATTCAAACTTCTCTTTTTTGTGGTAAATGATAAAGTAACTCCTCCATTTTTTGTGATATTTTAAACAGTAACAACCATAAAGAAGTGAAAATCAAAGTATGGATGCAGGTGTCTGTGTGTTGTGGGAGGTTTTTTATTAATTATTTTACTTCATGGCTTTTGTTCCTCAGTCTCTGGAGTGGTGGAGATTCAGGAGATTCTGTTTTGGAAATGAATACAGCTGGGGAATTTTTGGTATGTTGCTGTGCTTAATTCCAGGTGATCGTTCCCACAAATGCAGAATCTTTGCCAACACTGCCAGAACCAGAAGCTTCAGAGCTGAAAAAGCATCTGAAACAGGTAATAAGCACTTTGGGGAAAGGACTCAGATTCAGTAGAATTTAGCAGATGTAGTCTTGCACAGCAATGCAAGTCAGCAAATGTAAAGCAAAATGTGTTAAAAGCAGGTGTGTATCCTGGCACATCAGATGGATATGAAAACGTATCAGACTACTAGAATACTCTTGTTCAAGAAAGTGCACCTTGGTCAGTCATGGAGAGGTCTGCTTCTCTGAATGTGGAGGTGGGATGATCAATAGGGTGGCTGATTAAACAACATTATAAGGGTGTCTTCTTTTGAGCTCCCTGAGCTGTATGACTTTCTAACATTGTCTTCTCCTGACTAAGCTAAATCTGAGACCTTCATCTTGTTTCAGATCTCTGTAGTTTTTCCAGAGGACTTCATTGTAATTTTTGTTACCTGTTTCATCTTTTGCTGTCTCTGCTGCTTCCACCTTTGTCGTTTGTAGGGGAAGCATAGGACTAGGAATTTTCTGTCAACCTGTTTAAGATGCCTCTTTCGTATAGTTGGCCAATCCCCCGTATTAGAATACAACAGCATTTTGAGCTTGAAAAGCAGTATCAATTAATACAGATGTTAAGTGGTAGGTATCCAGTTGCTGCTTTTCTATCTTCATGGAGAGAGTTAATTTGGAAAAGTGAGTGGTCACTGAGGCTTATAACTGCAGTTAATTTCTTAGCCAGGTGAGGGATAATTTGAAAAGCTCCTGGATGCAACAGGTAGTTTCTGGTTTTTACTGTTGTTTGGGGCTAACTTGTTTCCAATTGGTGCAGGAAGTTCCAGATTCCTCCTTTACATTTGCCATGTGGGCTTTAAACTCTGACTTGATCCATCAAGCTATGATCATCTTTGTTTCCACTCCATTCACAGATCTGTGTGTGAGGTCTCAGTCTCTCCTCTCAGGTCCTGCTAAGCCATTAATCAGCTTGGGTCATCCTGGCTGATCGTGTCAAGCAGGTTTTATCTCTTTATTTCTGTTTTCCTTATGCACGCTGCATGCAGTATCTAAAGGTAAAGTGTGTTACTAATGTGATGAGTTCTGCTCTTTCTCTCTCCTTGTAGACCAGGAGAGCAAAGTGTGTAACCTCTATGATACCTGCTGTCAGCACAGATGGAAGCGATGTGTTGCTTGGAGTTTTGTTATATCCGCCTTCCCCCCACTTCTGCCTCACCCCCTTGCAATTTCAGGCACTATTCAGCAAAACTCTCTCACTAGGGCAAGGTTGGATATCAGAAGAACAAATTGCAATTTCCTTGAAGACATATTTAAAATTCTGAGCGTTCACCCAAATTCAAGTTACATCCCTATGTATTCCTATAGGCATTATCATTAAGAGTTGACCATTGGCAAAGGAGAAGGAGCGCTACTGGTTGCTGTATGAAGTAGAGAAGACTCAATTGTGGCCCACGTCACTAAGGTTAACACTTTTGTGTGCCTTTGGGTCTTAGTGTCAATGAATAAAATTCAGGATATCTGCTTTTAAACTGCAGTAGAAAGTTCTTAGCTGCATCAATAAGGACAGCAGCCTTTCTAGTTCCCAGAGTGGCCAGATGTGAATGTTTGGGGGTGGGGCAGTTAGACCTCTCTCCCAAGATGTGCATATTTTGTGGTCCCTTTTATTTCCTCTCATTTGTGATATTTGGTAGTAATAGATATATTTTTTTTTTTCCTTCCATCTGTTTCTCTGTGGTCATGTGTTCGTCTTGGCTCTGATGGGCTGCTGGTGTTATCATATGATCTTCCATCTTGCCTCCAGTGTCTGGTTAGCATGACTGCAATCACTCAGAAACAGCTGCTCACTTCTGACAACAAGGTTCTTTATTTTATTCTTTTCCCCTCAATTTTCTATTTTACCCTTTTCCTTTGGAGTTTTGGTTTTTGTTTTGTTTTATATATTTGTTTATTTTTGAAATAAAAAGATGAAGACTCAGTGGGCAAATAGGAGAAATGAGGAACGTTTAGGATAGGTCTGGGTATCCAGGACTGATTTACCACTTGTGCTGCTCCAGTGCATGTCCTTGAAGAGGTTATGAGGGTTGAAGAGAATGGTAGCTTTATGGAGAGATGAAGACCTCGTTCAGATGGGAAGTGGAGGTTTGCAGGGATACAGGCAAATGTCTGTGTAAAGGTGTCTCCACATTGTCCTGGGATATCAAACTCACTGGTTGAATGGCCAAGTTGCAAGGCAAGTTTCAAGACCTCTAGGTCCCCAGAGGTATTCAAATTATGCATGGGAATAACTCTACAATAAGTTGTACACAGTGCCATATTACTAGTGGTCCGATTTGGACTATCTGTTTTCACATCGTGAATGATCTAGCAAAGTGGACTTCTGTGCTACCCCTTGGCTGGCTCCAGGACTGTTTCAGCATTGAGGAGATCGTTTTGACAATCCACATAAAGGTGGGCCTGGAGATATTTGTTGACTCAACGTAGGAGACGGTTTAAGACAAACTAATGGAGCATGCACAATTGTTGCAATTGCCTAGAGGGCGGGGTAGCTCTGATCTCTCTCTTGTTCCTTGAGTAACTTTTCTTGCTGAAAATGTATGCATAATGTTGTCCTTCGTTAGGCACTGGCCAGCATGAGTCTGAATACTCAGCCCATTCTTAATCTAGAGAAGTTCCACGAAGGGCAGGAGGTGCCACTGCTGCTGGGAAGACCGCAGAATGATTTGCAGTCTACTCCCTCCACCGAATTCAACCCTCTGATCTATGGCAATGATGTGGACTCTGTGGATGTGGCTACCAGGTGAGGCTGAACGGGAAGGTAGTATTGAGTCTTCGTAAAGTTTGCACTAAAGAAGGCAGCACAGACACTTCTGTGGGTCCTGTGGTGGAAGCATCATCGTCCAGGTTCTACTGCAGGTTGTACTTTACATCATGGGAAAAAAAGAGCAGAAATTAACAGTGTTTATCTCAGATCTATTAACTGCACGAACGTAACTATGTATCTTGAGGGGGTGTTTTGTTTCTTGCATTTTCCTATAGATTATCCGCTTTACCTGGATTTGTCAGTCTGATACTGTATCCTCAGCTTAAATCTCAAGCCTTGAACTACAAAAAAAGCTGGAGACTTAGTTGCCACCTCAGCTAGTGGATATGAGAACCATGTCCCTCACTGGGTGGGTCTTGGTGTTGAGGTGGTGAATTAAAACAAAGGGATTTCTTGGTTTTTTTTTTTTCCTTTTCCTTTTTTAAAGGCAACTCTTTTCTAAGAAGACTTAGTTTTTCGTACTGGGTTACCATTCTTCGAAGGTTTGAAACATTGCCCACTGCATACCTTTTAAAGGCTCTCTGTCTTCTTTTCTGTTGTGTTTTGTGGTTTTATCTGATATATTGTCCTCTGTTTCTTTTTAGGGTTGCTATGGTGAGATTCTTCAACTCACCAAATGTTTTGCAAGGTTTCCAGATGCATACTCGCACTCTTCGACTCTTCCCACGACCAGTGGTGGCCTTCCAGGCAAATTCTTTTCTTGCGTCTAGGCCGAAGCAAACGCCTTTCGCAGATAAGCTTTCCAGGACACAGGCAGTAGAATACTTTGGAGAATGGTCACTCAACCCTACTAATTATGCTTTCCAAAGAATTCATAACAGTAAGTTTTGGTCTTTCCTTTCCTGCACTTGGATGTAATGCAGGAACTTAAAAAGCAGAGAGATTCTAGGGAAGGACTTAGTTTTACACCATATTATTCC